GGAGGAGGTCTGATCGCCAAGCTCCTCGGCCTTCGCTCCCACGCCGCCGGCTGCCTCCTCCTCTCCCTCGCCTTCCACGTCATCGTGTTTGGCCCCGACTGCTCCTTCCGGTCGGGGAGCGTGACGGAGGGGGTCAACATCGTGCTCACGATGATCGTCCTCCTCTCCCTCCTGGCCATCATCGGCATGGGAGCAGGGCAGGCGAACTTCTCGCGGCTGCTCGTCTCCTCCTTCACCCCCCACAAGCTCCTGCTGCAGATGCCCATCATGCTACAGATTCTCATGTACCTCCAGGTCGTCCCCACAGTCTGCAGCATGCTCAACGGCAAGCCCGACCGCATCAGGATTGCGGTCCTCGTCGGCTCCCTCCTCCCCCTTCTCGTCTGCCTCCTATGGAGCGCCGTCGGCATCGCGCTCGTGCCCTCCAACGGCGGCGCTCTCTCCATGGACCCCGTTGACTTTCTTCTCTCGCAGTGCGACGGCTCCTCGATCCTCCCCACAGCCACCGGCCTCATCGCCTTCGCGGCTATCGGGACGACCCTCATCGGCATCTACCTCATCATCGCCCAGTACCTCCACGAGATCCTCGTGAGCTGGAGGGGCGGCAGGCGGCAGGAGGAGGAGGCGAGTGGGAAGAGGCGGCCAGGTCTGTCTAGGCGCGTGCAGGTGCAACGAGATGTGTCGAGGATGATCTTGAGATCGGAGTCAGCCGGTGACGTCAGCCTGACTCGCCCGCACCATCTTCTCTCCCCCTCCGACCGCGTCGCTGCTGCTCTGCTTGCGTCCGTTCCTCCTCTCCTCTTCGCGCTCGGAGGCGAGTCAGTCTACATCATTGCCCTCGCCTTCGCAGGAGCGTATCCTCTGTGCGTCATGTGGGGCCTGGCTCCTCCATTCCTCCTCTCCAGCTCAGGAACAAGGCAGAGGACAAGCGAGACCTGTACAGCAGCAGCATGCGGCTGTTTCCTGGAGGAGGAGGCTCCTTCCTGCAGCTCTCGGGCTTCGCTCTGCTCCTCATGCTAGTCGCCCTCACGAAGGACCTGCGGGAGCTGCTCCTCCTCCTGCCGCAGCTGACGCGGGGGGCTGCGAAGCTGGTGGGGATGGCAGGGGGAGGAGTGGGTGCATGCGGGATAGTCACGATCTGTTGCCTTGCGTTCCGATGCCGCAACTTGACAAGAATATGAGGAGGAGGAGCGGACGGAGCTTCCCTCCCCTCCCCTCCTTTTCCTTTGCTAGTCTTATCCTTCCGCCCTCTGCTTCCCCACGGTCTTCCCCTCTTCCTACTCTCCGTCCCCTCACTCCCTCACTTGCTGTCTAACTTCACATGCTTCAACAGCTCAGCAAGAAGGAGCAGAACGATCGATCATTTCACTTCATTGTTACTTCTCATCCTCAAGCAGTGATTGTAGCAAACTCATTAAGAGAAACCTCAACCTATGTCTTTGTGAGCCTCCATCGTTACCCCGCCTCCTCTCATTCTTCCTCCTCCTCCTTTTTCTGCCTACCCACCCGCCCCCCAGCTCGTGTGTATCTCCTTCGCTTACCTTGGTGCATTGGTCTCCGATCTTCTCGCGCTCCTCCTTCTTCAGCTCATCTCTTGATGCCTGAGGAATCAGCCGTCAGCTCTGCCTCCTCCTCAGGTATGCATCCTCCCTTCTATCCTAGCTCCTCCTCCTCTTCCTCTTCCTCCTCGTCCTCCTCCCTCCAGTCTTCAACTCCTCTTGCTTCACCTTCAGCAGCAGATTGTTCAGCTTCTCGAGATCCTTCACGATCTCTTTGTACTTCACTTCTGCGTTCTTGAACTTTGCTCCCGTCAGAGTTGAACCAAACTCCTCTGTCCTCCTCCTCCTCTGTCCTCCCCCTCCTCTCTCTTCTTACCTTGGCTGGATCAACCACGTGGTCTCTGTAAAGATGGAAGCAGGATGAACGAATGCCCCCGAGAGCGCTCACACTGAAAGGGAAATGATGGGGAAGAAGGGAAAAGAGGAGAGGAGGTGAAGGAGAGGCAGAAGAGAGCGGCATATTGGGAGCACGATGAGCAGAAAGGCGGGAGGAGGGGAAACTAACCGCAAAGATCCCTGGAGAGAATTGTATCCCTTCTGTGCCTCAACCTAATCAATCTCATGACTCTTTTCCCCAGACATATTGTTGACATCCTCCTCATCCACCTCATCCACCTCATCCGCATGTACGCCCCCGCCCTCGCCCTCGCCCTCGCCCTCGCCCTCGCCCTCTCCTTCCTTCTCATCTCACCTTGTTGCTCTCCCAGTTGCTTTCCACCACTTGAGCCGCCTAAGATGATCTCAGCAAGCGAGAGGGGGAGGAGGCAACGAGTGACCTCAGCGAGCTCCTTCATCTGCTGCGATGCAAGCTTGACCTGACCAACAAGTTGCTCCTACAAGGTTCGTTATGACATTCGTAGTCGTGCAACATGTGAGAATGATTGAGCGAAGAACTGGAGGAGGAGGAGGAGGAGGAGGAGGAGGAGGAGGAGGAGG